GTTTTCTAAAACAGAGTAATATTAGCACTGCCCAGACCTCTGGAAAAAGGTTGTTCCAGAAGGAGGGGGCTACAATAGAGAAGGCCTGCCATTTGGTCCATATCCCATGAACCTCACAAAGAGGGGACCTCCAACAAACCCCCTCTGGATGACCTATCCAGATTCAGTTCTGACAAGGCATTGGCTGATGTAAATGTGCCATTTATGGTTTTAAGGGTCATAAATAGCACTTTGACCTGGGCCTGGAAGTTTACTGGTAGTCAATGAAGTAACATTAAAATTGGTATTATTCTACATTGGCAAGACTGACCCACTGGTAATCTCGCTGCCAAACTTTACAGCCATTGTAGCTTCCAGGTCATCTCTGAGGCAGCCCCACATACATTGTATTACAGTAGTCCGGCTGAGTGGTGATCAAGATGTAAGTTATTGTTGCCAAGTCATTGTGATCCATGTAGGGCCACAACTGACACACTAGCCAAAGCTAGGTGAAAACACCCCTATCCAAAATTTCCAGTTGCTGCTTCAGCAGCAACCTAGAATTCAAGAGAACACCTAAATTTTAAATCATAACCGTTGGCCTCGGTTGTTGTTGTTATTGGGAAAGCATGAGCCCATCCAGAGTAATTACCAGGACCAATGCACTCAGATTGCTGTGTTTTAGGAACAAATAGCATCTTTGTCTTAGTAAGATTTAATCTGAGCTTGCTTTGCCCCATCCAGATCCTCACAGCCTCCAGACACCTGTTCAGGACTTCCAAAGCATCTCCTATATTACCTACAGTAGTGATGTATAGCTAGGTGTATTGATGATACTTCACTCCAACCTGATGGATAAATTCTTTGAACAGTTCATGTAGATGTTAAATAACATGGGAGAGAGCACTGAGCTCTGTTGGACTAAAATAGAATGCAGGAAAAGAAAGTGCAATGAAGTTCTCTATGAAAACGTATTAGAAGATAGATTAATATTTCAATAGAATGAATGAAAAGTGTATATGGGAGGACAGAGAAACCACTTGGACCAAGTGAAAAGAATTACATTACAGAGTACCACAGAAGTTTGGAAGTATGCTAATGACAAAAGATACTTAGTGGACTGATGAAATGAAAGATGGTATGGATGAGAAAAAATGTGTATAAGAAAATGATTGCTGCTCCCATATGTACGTTCATCACATTTTCTATATTGTCAGAAAAAACAAGCTGTGATGCTAAAATTACATAATCTCTTGGAAGTGCCTCAAATTCCACATTAAACAAGCTTCCCAATGTAGTGTTGATAAAAAGAATAGTTGCATTTACAAGCTCAGGGAATATGAGAGGCTGATTTGGTTTGGTTTGGTTTGGTTTAGTTTAAGACTCTTAGTGTTACAAATTAATCAGTTTGGCCTGAGAAGTCTACAACTCATTAACTTTAAAGGCTTTGCTATTTCTCATGGTTGAACTTACGTTTTAACATAAATAAGGCTTTCTTTTGTCACCTGCATCGTTCAAGCTATTCCGCGTCTCACAACTTGGTCTAAAGTATATTTGCTTAGGACTACTACTGACTTTAATGGCACTCGGTCCTTAGTTATTTTGCATCAGACTGTGATTGTGCTGCATAATATTATGCAGGCTAGCTGGACGTTAGTCTTGTCGTACAGAGGACTTAGTGATTGCAGCCTTAAATTGCTATAAAATATGTTCCTGAAATACAGTATACTTGTTTCTGAATATACCTAGGAACTAGTATACAGTATAAATCTACATTGGAGTAAAGTAATTTTATGCTTAACATAATTTGGATAAGAGAAGAGCCTTGTTGAAATAAAGAAGAGCTTACAAATAATATGAACTGAACAGTAATACTACTATAATTTCAAGCTATTATTTTCCCAAGTTCTTCTGGTAGTAAACCATGTATTTTCAGACTTTTGGATTCTACCCATCGGTGTATCTGCTTTTGTAAATTTTCACATTATATTTTATGTGGCTGAAAATATTCTGGTTAACATATGGTTGGTAGTAATTCAGAATCAGTTAGAGATTTCAGGGTAGGCCTTTACATTTTATTCAGGAGCAGTACAGTGTCCCTTGTAGTCATTGTTTTAGTAATGGTACAAACATCTCCTGAACAAAACAAATCTGTTTCATTATTTCAGCTCTTTGGACCCATTGGCTTTGAACTATTAGATAAGGCAAGAGAAAACTGAGAACATACATTTTCTTGGACTTTAGTGAAAGCTTTGGATTTGGAGTTGATTGTTAGGCAAAAGGGTGAATAAATGAATAAATAAAAGTGCAAAGTGCTGTATTTTGAAATAGAATTCTATAGAAGTTTAAAAGGACCATCTTGTGATAGCCTAGAAATCATTAAATATCACTTTGGGAGACCTGAATAGATTTAAATAAGCAAAACGTGTAGTTATGAAAATCCTGAGTTAAGAACTGACTTTTTTTTTTTTTAATCCATTCAATCGTGTCCAATTCTCGGAGACTGCCTGGACAACTCCCTGCAGTTTTCTTGGCAAGGTTTTTCAGAAGTGGTTTGCCCTTGCCTCCTTCCCAGGGCTGAGAGTGAGTGACTGGTCCAAGGTCACCCAGCATGCTTTGTGCCTAGGTGGGACTAGAACTCACGGTCTCCCAGTTTCTAGCCTGATGCCTCAACCACTACACCAATTTCAAATGTAGGATGATCACTGAGATACAGACAGATTCAACTGTACCTTAAGGCTACATGATGTATTTCATGTTACCAGTGTTATCTTCATTCTTGATTATTTTGAAAAGGAATAATAGATTTTATGGCCTGATGTTACAGGTAACTGTCTTTCCAAGAAGTGCCACACAGTATATTTTTGAAATGCTGTTTGGTTACTAAATCCCAGTATAATATTCTTTCAGTTTGTAAAAGAAGGGAGGGGAAAGGGTTGAGAGGAATCAGAATAAATATTTTCACCAGGATAACCAAAGACTACTGGGGACTCTTAAATACTTTTTTTCTGCTGCTTAATTTTTCTTCCTCGTCGTTTCCTTTTGACCAAAAGGAAACCCTGTAAGGGAATTGTATACTGCTGTCAGAAAGCTTCCAAATCTGTGTGATTTGGCACCTTATATATCAGCAGATTAACATTTACAATCAGCTTTTGTTGGATTTCCGAATTCATTCAGCTTCATACTGGCACTTAAGGTAAATGAAGGAACAGTTCATTTGGCATTCAGTAATGTTCTTACTGATGATTCCCCTTCTCTGATTTTGAACAGCTTTTTAAAGTGGTGCTGCAGGGCTTTTCTTTTTGTTTTACATAAATTGGCATTGTGTAATCTATGGAACTTGCAGGGCAGAGTGAGGTTTATGCTGGAAAGGGAAATGAACACAGAAAATAGTGAACAGCAAGGCCTCTTTGATTTGATTATGAAGGATGTTTCTTTATTCTGTCTGTCTTCGTACAATCTGAAAACAGTAGCAGGGGTTACAAGCTGAGTTCATCATAGAGTTGTCAATCACTGCCATTTAACATTTGCAGTGGAAGATGTCTTTATTCAAGGACAGCTGGGCAAATCAGAAGCACAGATTTGCAGTTAGTAGCCTGTCCTGCCGATGCTAAACAAACAGGGACAGGGCAGACAGACCAGCCTGTCACATAAAAATATAATGGACTATGCTGACCTTGGTGCCCTACATTCAGCTTCGTTCCCAGATGCATAAAAGCTCCAGTACTCATTCTCAATTTCCTTTAATTACTTACATGATGCAGATAAGAAAATGAACTTCACTTACAATCATCCATCTCACACACATCGGAAATGAAGTAGGCAAATTGTTTGAAACCAGAGGAGTCTTTTGGAAGTAAATAAAATAGGTTGTTTAAGGGGGAGAAGAAAGAGTTTTTTCCTGTTTTCCAGAAATACCTGCTAAACTGCAGCCATTCTGCTGATCCCACCCCTTAGTCTATCTCATGGCTGTAGCTACCAGGCCAAAAAAATCTCCTTGGTAAATAAATATTCCTTAAAATATTTTTAAGAGATGTGGCTTAAATAAGAGTGAAACAAACATGCAGAATTCTATAGGGCTTAAGATGGCACTGACCTTTTGGTTCAGAAAATAAATGACCACAGTTTTCACAAAAGATCTGGAAGAGACATCAAGGATTAGGTAGCAGTTGTCTGCAGTCTGTCTTTTTTAAAAAGAACACTGTTCAAAGAACATGACATTTTTAGAAGTTGCTAAGATTTTATTTCTAGAGTTTTCTAAATTATTATTCCAAATTTTTTATCCTCTTGCCTTTGGGCTTTATCATTTAAAAGCAATATTTTATTGTATAGTAACCATGTGCACACAATAAGACTTATTAAATTAATTCTCATATACAGCTTCCACACAATTAATTTTAATTAATCTGGAATTGGCCAAATATACAACTGAGAGACCATTTTGTTCTGAAAAGCATTTGAATTTTTGCCAAAAAACATTACTAGATTGTAAATGCAATCCAGCCTTCCCCAAGTGCTACTTGTGCTTATGGATTAGCAATAAATCTGAAAGCTTTAGGGGCACTTGGGTAACTTTTTCCAATTTGTGCTTCCAACTGCAGCCCTTTGTAGCTGCAAGGGTCCCCATTTCTGGTAAGTGGCTTTACTGGGGGCTCTAGTAGCTCTTGAGTAAAATTTGCCAAAGCAAGCTCATAGTTGTCTACATCCCAGTTCTTTCCATTTTTTTACACTAATGTTCTCTCTCTCTCTCTCTCTCTTTTTTTTTTTTTTTTTT